TTTTTGCTTATGTGGTACTGAGGAATCAAACCCAGGGCCTCAGGCATGCAAGGCAAGCGCTCTACCACTGAGCCACCTTCCCAGCCCCAAATAGCTATTTTTAAGATGATTTGGTACATTAAAAAGTACAAATGCTTCTCTGCCCTGTCTGCTGAGACCCAAATCAGATAATTCTAATACACTGTACCTGCTTCTACACAGTCTTCTTAGGGAGAACAAAACAAAACAAAACAAAAAAACCTCTGCATGTTCTAGGCTTTCAGGAAAGTGGGGGATTATTTTATCCTAATGATAGCCTGTAATTTCCTGCCTGGTACAATTTATATTACAGCTTTTAAATCTCTTGGCACTTTGGAGCAAAGGAAACAAGGGCACCCATGAAACTTAGTCTCTAGTGGAGGGAAACAGATTACAAATGAGTAAACATATATGTGGGATAATTCCAGAGACTGATAAATGTTAGGAAAAAATTAAAATGAGCTGATCATCAATGGTTCACATCTATAATCCTAGCTACTCAGGAGGCTGAAATCTGAGGACTATGGTTCAAAGCCAGCCTAGGGAGATAAAGTCCTGAGACTCTTATCTCCAATTTATCAGCAAAATACTGGAAGAGAATGCTTTGCCTCAAGGGATACAGCAACGGCCTTGAACACAAAAACTAAGCTAGAGTATGAAGTCCTAAATTTAAACTCCAGTACTTGAACAAAAGAAAAGAGAGAGGAGAGGATAGAGAAGAGAAAAAGAAAAGAGAAGAGAAGAAGCAACACGAAATGACTCATACCTGTAATCCAAGCTACTCAGGAAGCTGAGTTCTGAGGATCACAGTTCAAAGCAAGCCTGGAGGGCAAGTTCAGGAGACTGTTATCTCCAATTAACTACCAAAAGGCCAGAGGTAAAGCTGGGCACTCATGGCTCACATCTGTAATCCTAGCTACTGAGAAGGATGAGATCTAAGGATCACGGTTCAATGCCAGCCAGGGCAGAAAAGCCATGAGACTCTTATCTCCAATAAACCACTAGGAAACCGGAAGTGGCACTGTGGCTCAAGTGGTAGAGTGCTCACCTTGAGCTGTAGAGCTAAGGGACAGCCCCAAGCACAGAGTTCAAGCCCCATGACCGACAAAAAAAAAAAAGCCAGAGGTAGAGATGTGGCTCAAGTGAGCCTTGAGCAAAATAGCTCAGGGACAGTGCCCAAGCCCTGAATTCAAGGACCAGCACAAGAAAGAGAGAAGGAGAAAAACAGAGGGAGAAGGAAGGAAGGAAAAAGGAAGGAAGGAAGGAAGGAAAGAAGGGAAGGAGGAAGGGAGGGAAGGAGAGAAAGAGAAAGAGAAAGAAAGGAAAGTGAAAAAGAATGAGAGGCAAAGAGAAAAAAGAAAGAAAAGAGCAGAAGAAGGAAGGAAAAGAAAAAATGAATAATGAGATAGAGCAATCTGTTTGTTTTTTTCAGACCTTGTTGTCAAGAAAGGCCTCAGAAGAGAGGAAGTTTGAAGTGAACTCTGAATACAAAGTTGCTAGCTCTACCAAACAAGTAAAATGTCTTGGAAAACAAATCTGTGGAGCATGTTACTTCTTTCCTTTTGATAATTACATTCTTTTTCCTGACTATAACATTTGGCTTTGAACAGTAACAAAATGTAACATTTTCAGCAACATAAATTTATTAACTGCTTGTTTGCATTATCTTGTACTTCTGTGCTGTTTATAGAGATATTATTATTACTTTTTGCATTGCTAGAAATTGAACTCAGTGCCTTGTGCTTGCTAAGCAGGTGCTCTACCACCTGAGCCACATTTCCAGTTAGGCATTTTGCTGGTTATTCGGGGAGAGTCTCATGGACTTTTCTGCCCTGGCTTGCTTAGAACTGTGATCCTCTGTTCTCAGACTGTCAAGTAACTAGGCTTGAGCTACTAGTGCTCAGCTTGTCTTGGATATATTTTATAAAGGATGTTGCTTTAGGCCTGGGCTGTAATCCTCCTGCTTACAGTTTCCTGTGTCACTGAGAATGACAGGTGTGAACCACTGCATCTAGCCATTGGATGAGATGGAAACTTGCAAGAGCTGGCTACAAAACGTTGATCCCTTCATTAACAAATTAAAGATGTAGCTGTCTAGACTCAAACTATACCCATTGACTTAGAATCCAAGGTGTTAGAAAACAGAGCAGAACAGAAAAGGAATAGGCTTGATTAGGCCTTCAACAGGCTAGGACTGTTTATTGCCAGTGGGACAGGATGGAGGGGGTTAGAGGACCCTCCCCCCCTCCCCCATAGACCATCCCGAGGGTTGGGAGTTTACAAGGGACTGGATTTGGGGGCTGGGTTCATATGGGTTTTAACAAGAAAATAGCCAGGTGCTGGTGGCTCTACAGGAGGCTGAGATCTGAGGATTGCGGTTCAAAGCCAACCCTGGGGGGCTGGGAAGTTGTCTCAGTGGTAGAGCACTTGACTTGCATGCCATGCCGGAGGCCCTGGGTTCGATTCCTCAGCACCACATAAGAAAAAAGAAAAAAGCTGGAAGTGGCACTGTGGCTCAAGTGGTAGAGCTCTAGCCTTGAGCTGAAGAGCTGAGGGACAGCGCCCAGGCCCAGAGTTCAGGCCCCACAACCGAACCACCCCCCCCCCCCCCAAAAAAAAAAACGCCAACCCTCGCAGGAAAGTCCGTGAAACTCTTATCTCCAATAAACCACCAGAAACCGGAAGTGTCCCTGTAGCTCAAGTGGTAGAGCGCTAGCCTTGAGCTGAAGAGCTGAGGGACAGCACTCAGGCCCAGAACTCAAGACCGACAAAAAATAAAAAAATAAATAAACAAGGAAACAAAGGAGTAAAAATCAGGCTGTAATTACTGGGGAGCTAGAGCCAGGTACTTTCGGGTAGGTCCAAAATGAACCTTTCAGTTAGGTCCTGCTTGAGGTGATGGGACTTTCAGCCAAGCCTAGATTTGGAATAACCTGTCTGCTGACTTGCATGTAGTCAAGCCAGTTCATGTACACCTGGTGTCTTTCTTGACCTTGGGGAATAAGTCAGGAGTCAATCCTTCACAAGGAAAGGGCTTTGAAAATTGAAATTTTAAAAAGACTTCCAGATGATTCTTTTGTATGCTCAAGTTTAGGATTGCTGAGCTGGGTTGAAAGAATGTATAGAAAGAACAGAATCTTTACTGCAAATTTCCAAAACTACTTTGTCCCATATGTTTCAAAATTGTAAACCCCTAAATTCTGCAAATGGCAGTTCTCTTAAAATTTAAACAATCAGTTTAACTTGGGTAACAAGAATGAAGAAATCTCAGAATTTCCTGGGTTCTTCAAAACAACTAAAGAAAAATGCCTGGGTAAGCCCCTCCTCAATATCATTTTCTTTCACTCATCATTTTTTTTTTTTTTTAAGTTATAGGCAAGACAAGGTAGGGAGACAACAATATTAGAGAATGTGGGACTGCTGGTCCTTGGGTCAGAAGGTGAGAAATGTGTGTTTTGTTTTGTTTCTTTTTTGCTGTCATGGGTCCTGAATTCTGGGTCTGGGCACTGTCCCTCAGTTCTTCAGCTCAAGGCTAGCACTCTACCACTTGAGCCACAGTGCCACTTCGGGCTTTTTCTGCTTATGTTGTGCTGAGGATAGAACCCAGGGCCTCATGCCTGCAAGGCAAGCACTCTACCGCTGAGCCACCTTCCCAGCTCTCTCACCCATATTTTACTCTAGTCCAGTTTTGTTTTCTTAATTTTTTTGTTTTTTATTTTTTATTATCTTTAAGTAGTTGTATAAAGGGGTTTTAATTCAACGTGTCAATTTGTAGGAATAATGCATCTTGATCAATGTCATGCTTTCTATTATTCTCCCAGTCTAGTTTTAATCTAACCAAAGAGATTACCTGAAAATGGACAACTCCAGAGCTCTAAGAACCTGTTTACTATCAAGTGATTTCTGCAGTCAGCTTCAAGACTTGGCCCCCATGCTGAGCCAGCCTGAAAGGCATTCAGAGTCTCTGGGTGAAGCCAGCCACCTTACCTCCCACACCCCCACACCCACCCCAGACCCAGCCTTATCAATCAGCCTTCCCAGCTGCCCCTTTTCTGTCCCAAACTCAAGGGCTGGAAAATGCCTTGGGATCACACATCTCCAGAGTGGAAAAATGGTCCTCTTGGCAGATACTAACTATCTTGTTTTAGGGCTGCAAATAAAATACAAGATGTTGTTATACTCCAAAGATTGCATTGAACTCACTTATTCTTGTTTTTTTGTTTTTGTTTTTTTTTTGGGGGGGGGGGGTCCGGTCGTGGGGCCTGAACTCTGGGCCTGGGCGCTGTCCCTCAGCTCTTCAGCTCAAGGCTAGCGCTCTACCACTTGAGTCACAGCACCACTTCCGGCTTTTTTCTTTTTGCTTATGTGGTGCTGGGGAATCGAACTCAGGGCCTCAGGCATGCAAGGCAAGCGCTCTACCACTGAGCCACCTTCCCAGCCCCTGAACTCACTTATTCTTGAAAATGGGTTTCTTTCATCTAAAATTCAAATTTCCTTAGGCGTTTTTTTAATTTTTAATTTTAGAAATCTGGCGATCTACTTGGAGTACAAACCACCAAGCCCTTTATAGGCGTAAGCCATGTCTCCACAAACATGTTAAACATCCCACTGGATGGAACACGGAGTAGGGGGAGAGGGAGATGTCAGGGAAGGGAGCTACAAAAGAAATCGAAAGAGTGTGAGGGCCTGTGAACTTAATTGCGTTGTTTCTTGCAAAATTATGAATTAATTATTATGGAGCTCCTGTGAGAGTCTGGGGTTTTCATAACCACCTATCTCTGTGCACTGTCTTCCTAATGTGTGAGCAGGATTACTGTCCAACGCAGACGACGCCCCCAAGTCATCCCTGCTGCGACACTTGTGGGTCGTGCAGGACAGAGGGCCAGGGCGAGGTTCGTTCACCACCCTGCTCCCGGTTGCACCTCGGGCCCGGGCGCGCGCCGGCCACGCCCCCTTTGTTACCCGATACTTTTCTGGGTCAGCTGGTGCTGGCGTCAGGAGGAGGGATGGGCTGGCTCTGCTCGACCCGGCAGGGCTTGTTTACTATGGCTGACGATCTGGAGCAGCAGTGAGTTAATCCTGTCTCTTTCTTTCTCCCTCTCTTGTCTCTCTGGGCCTTCATCCTGGGACTCTGTGACTGAGGATCAGTTTTTAAGACACCTTCCCGCCTTTCCGTTTTCAGGTCGGCTTCCAGGGAGGGCTGGGGGTTGCATCTGCTTGCTGTGCTTTAAGCCCAGAAGAGGCGGTGGCAGAGACAGGGCAGCGATGGTGGGTGAGCTTGCTTGCAGTTCAGGGATTCTGACTTTCTACTTACGTCTTCACCACTCGTTCTCCCTTCCTTCGCCTCCGGCGTCAGGTTTAGTGGTAAGGTGCAAGGGGTGAGCTTGCTTCCCGCCCCCCACCCCTCCTCACTCCGCAAACAAATGGATGCGATGCAGATGTGGGGGTAGTTGCTGAGGTGCTTGTCTCGACTTGCTCTGGGTCACAGTGGTGCGGGTGAAAGGGGCTCCCTCAGCCCGTTGGGTAATGGCGTGGGAAGAAGCAGAAGGCTTCAGGGCGTTGGGAATGGAGTGCAGTTTCTTTGGTTCTCGCCCACCAAGGCACGTTGCTATTTGCAATCCTAACTGGAGATGTTTTTAATCGTTATGTTGACATAACACAGTGGTCTCAGCATTTGGTTTGTGAAATGTGGGAGGTTTCTATTTTCATCACTGACCCAAGGGCATCCATCAAGTTTGGGATGCCACCTGTAGGTGGTGTGACTAGCAGTTGGAAGTCTGGTAGGGGCAAAGAAAAGTTGCTTAGGGGGAGAATGACTCAGCTTCAGCCAAGCCTTGGTTTCACCGGAACAGGGCCTTCCCTGGACCCAGTATTCAACCTCCAGACCTGTAGAACTGATAGCTGCAAAAGTTTATGAAAAATAGCTTCCTGGACTGAAGAAACTGTACAGAAGAGTGCTGCTTTTCAAAGATAACTTTTCAGAGTGGAAACATGCAGTGACTTAGGGGAGGAATATTCAAGTCTGAAAGGGATATAGGCCATTTAGCTCCATTTTACAAATAAGCTGATGCCCAATGAAAATAAGGAGCCTTGACTATGATCACAGAAGTGTAGAAGATTCTCTCTCAACATAGAACCCTTTCCACTTTACCTCCACCAGGATGGACAAGCGACCACCTTGGCCAGTCCAAGTTCATGACTAAGTGGTTTCTGTGCTCCTTGCTTCCATTTCACATCATAGCCTTTATCTCCCTAATAGTGTTGAGTAGAGACAGTATGCCAGGCACCACTTCCTGTTCTTCAACTGTAACAGATTGGGTGAAAAAAGGAAAGCAAATAAGTCTCCCCTAAGGAATATCTTATCTGCTTAGGAGACTATGGTGCTGTTCATGGGACAGCATTTCTCCTGAGCTCTACTTTGGGCAGTTGCAGGGAGTATAGAGTTTGGATGTCATCATCTGACTTAGTCTTCATGGTATGCAGAGAAAGTCTGTGTCTTTAGACTTGGGCCAAATTCTATGGTCTTAATCTCCATACTTCAAGCCAACAAGCAATTCCAGTGGAATGTTACAAGGGTTCTGAGTCTCCCTAGGAAGAGACAGATGGAGATAATACCACATCCCACTAAAGCCATCAGGGGTACCACTCCCAATGGCAGCACACATTGGGAGTTGCTACTTGCAAGTCAGTGGGAATATAGACAGGTTATGATTTAGCTGAGGGAAAAAATGTTTTTTGTTTTTTTTTTTAAATTTTTTTTGGGGTCCGGTCGTGAGGCCTGAACTCTGGGCCTGGGCGCTGACCCTCAGCTCTTAGCCCGGAAAAAATGTTTATCTTGGGCGGGCTGGGAAGGTGGCTCAGTGGTAGAGTGCTTGCTTTGCATGCGTTAGGCCCTGGGTTCGTTTCCTCAGCACCACATAAGCAAAAAGAAAAAAAGCCAGAAGTGGCACTGTGGCTCAAGCGGTAGAGCGTTCGCCTTGAGCTGAAGAGCTGAAGGACAGCCCATAGGCCCAGAGTTCAGGTATACGACTGGCAAAAAAAAAAAAAAAGAGTTTATTGTGGCTAGGTTTTATTCTATACACTCTAGATATGAATTCAGGGCCTGGCACCTGCTAAACAGGTGCTTGCTGGAACATTTGAGCTATGCCTCTGTCCCTTTTTAGTTTCAGTTATTTTTCAGATAGAATTTTCTGCTCTTTTTCCTGGTTGGCCTTGGGATGTGATCCTCCTACCTATGCTTCCCACTTACCTAAGATCAAAAGCATATAACACTTGCCCTAGTTGAAAGAGAGCCTTGTTAGCTTTTGTGGCTGGCTTGGTGTAGCTTCCTTTAAAAATGAGGATACTGATACAGAAAGACTAAATGATGTGCCCATACTCAGACTACTGTTAAGTAGCAGTATTTAAATTAGAACTCTAGTCTTCTGGCTTTAAAGAATACCTTTCAGAAAAGAGGAACAGGTAAAAATGTGATTAGGTACTGTAAAAGTTTGTGCATGGCCTGGAGAAGCTGATGGTTGAAGGTCCAGGGAGTAACTTACTTAGAAACTCAGTTTTGAGATTTGGGTCTACTTCCTGCCTTTTTCTAACTTGCTCTATGACTTCTGTAGGCATCAGTTTGCTGACTTGTAAAAAAGTGAAGCTGAGCTGGGTACCAGTCACTCACCTGAAATTGTAGCTACTCAGGAGGCTAAGATCTGAGAACCAAAGTTCAAAGCCAGCACAGGCAGGGAAGTCCTTGAGAATCTTATTTACAGTTAATCAGCAAAAAGCCAGAAGTGAAACTGTAGGTGCCAATCTTGAGTGCAAAAGTTAAGAGACAATGACTAGGTCCCAAGTTTAAGCCCCAGTACTGGAAGAAGAGGAAAGAGGAGGAGAAGGAGGAGAAAAGGGAAGAAAGGAAGGAAAAAAGTTGAACTAGATGACTTCTAAGGAAACAGTTTAATCTAATCTAAAACTTTCTGTTTCCAACAATGCAAAAGGGTGTCCCGTGTGCAGAATGGGGTTGGTAATGGTTTTCCCATGGAAAACCTCTGCCTTGATCATGCTGACATCATCGGCCACTCCTGCAGCTGTTGGCATCGGTCCTCTCACCCCCTTCATTCACCCAGAGAGAGTCCAAGAGAAGAGAAATTCTATATAGGATGGAAAAGGAAGAATAAAAACTAATTCATTGAGCATCTAATTTGTGGTGGCCATCTGGTAAGGTCTCTTACATATCTAAATGCATAAAGTTAGGCCAAAGTTAGTACTGCCGTTGAGGTCTAGAAGTTGTCTTTATTCCAAAGCTGATGATTGAACCTCTACTCTGCAATGATTTAAGTTATTGGGTTTGAAGGAGAAAGCGGATGGATTCATTTTTACTGTGTTTCAGTCTGGAAAACAAAGGTTAAAGGTAGCTGTAGCCTGTTTGTGAATCACACCTGGACTCGAACCCAGGTCTGACTTCCAGTTCTCTGCATGCCCTACTCCATGTTTAGGGTAGGCTGATTACCTGAAGGCCCAGTTGACACTGGCACAGTGAAGCATATTTCTAGAAGTTTGGAAGAAGGCCAGGAGAGCAGGAGGTATGAGAATTTATCTGTTCTGCCCCAAAGGAACAGCTTGTCCTGGAGAAGGTTTAAAAAAAAAAAAAAGGAACTATTGGTTAAAAGTTGCTTTCTCTCCTTTTTAATCTCTTTGAACATAAACTGATAGCCAGTAACAAAAGGGGAGTGGTAAATAAGATACTAAATATGAAAAGGGCTTATAAAAGGTATTGTATACATGGTGTTCTAAATATCTGCTAAAACAAGGGACACATTGTTGATAGCCATTTGCCAGGAAAGAGTAACAAACTATCAGGCAGTGAGGCTATTGCTGTGGCCTCAATGGGCAGGCTTCCTGAGGCTGGGAAACACTCTGTTCCCTGAAAACTTGTAGCCATCAGCAAAGCTAAGCACCTGTTTCCTTTCCAATGTTGCCAATAAGCATCTCTGTGTCTCCCTGTTCCAGGCCTCAAGGCTGGCTGAGTAGCTGGCTGCCCACTTGGCGCCCCACTTCTATGTCCCAACTGAAGAATGTGGAAGCCAAGATCCTTCAGTGTAAGTAGAAGGGACAGCCTTTACCTCTCAATCAGGAAGGTCTAAGAAGGATCCAGGGTCAACCCAGAGTTGGGTACACCTAGCCCACTGATCCTTACTAACCATGGGTAGGATGGGAAAAGGACACATCAATGACTTGAGAGGAAATTCACATGACAGACGCCATATTCCCTAGTAGGAGTTCCTTAGCTTCTCCCTAGCCATATGTTAGGTTTTGCCACATCCTATAGCTTCACCTCAAACCCTATACATACTGCTGTCTGTACACACACAAATTTGTTCCTCTCCTCTTCCCCCCTCTATCTCTTCTTCCTGTTCACTTGTTCTCTCTCTCTCCATTTTTCATTTGTACTTTTTTTTTGGGGGGGGGGGGTTGGTCATGGGGCTTGAATTCTGGGCCTGGGCACTATCCCTCAACTCTTCAGCTCAAAGCTAGTGCTCTACCACTTGAGCAGAGCTACCTCTGCTTTTCTGGTGGTTAACTGCAGATAAGAGCCTCACGGACTTTCTTGCCTGCTGTCCTTGAACCATGATCCTCAGATCTAAGCCTCCATAGTAGCTAGAATTACAAGCATGAGCCACCAGCACCCAGTGCATTCTCACTTTTTTATACTAGTATCTCTCTTTTGTGCTGCTCTATCTCTTTCTCATGTTGGTACTGGTGCTTGAACTCAGTATCTAGGTGATGTCCTGTCATTTTTCACTCAAGTCTGGTGCTCTACCACTTGAGCCACAGCTTCAATCTAGATTTTTGTTGTTGTTTGTGATGGTTATGGGACTTGAACTCTGGGCCTGGATGCTGTCCCTCAGCTCTTCAGCTCAAGGCTAGAGCTCTACCACTTGAGCCACAACTCCACTTCCGGTTTTCTGCTGGCTTATTGGAGGTAAGAGTCTCATGGACTTTCCTCCCCAAGCGGCTTTGAACCTTGAACCACAATCCTCAGATCTCAGCCTCCTGAATAGCTAGGATTACAGGCAAGAGCCACAGCACCCGGCTTCAATCCAGATTTTTGATGGCTAATTGGTGATAAAAGTCTCATAGCCTTTCCTGCCCAGGCTGGCATTGAACCATGACCATCAGATATCAGCCTCCTGAGTAGTTAGGATTACAGGTATGAACATACCAGGCTCTCCTCTCTTTTAAACACATAGTTAAGGACTGGGAAGGTGGATCAGCGGTAGAGTTTGCCATGCATGCATAAGGCCCTGGGTTCAATTCTTCAGCACCACATAAGCAAAAAAAAAACAGAAGTAGCTCTGTGGCTCAAGTGATAGAGCACTAGCCTTGAGCTGAAGAGCTGAGGGACAGAGTCCAGACCCAGAATTCAGGCCCCATGACAGGCAAAAAACAAAACAAAACAAAACACATAGTTAAGCACGTCTTCATTTCTCACCTCTGACCCAAGGACTAGCAGTCCTACATTCTCTAATATTGCTGTCTCCTGTGTTCTACCTTGTCTTGGCCCATAATTACTTGTTTATCAAAGAACTTTGGAACTCACAGCTGGCTCTCATGTGTAGCGTTACATAGGTACAAGTCATCCCATAAGCAGTAGTAGCCATTGGCTCAAATAAGACCCATGGGCTAAGTCTCTTATGCTTCTTCTATAATCATTCCTACCTGCCCTAGTCATAGCTATCTTCTATCTTTGGACCTGAGTAAGTACAGCTACAGAACAGCCAGGGCTTTCAAGCCTTTGTCCAGGACCCAGGCATCTCTGTGTCTAAGAGGAATAAGCTCAAGTCTCAGTCAACTCCCATCACATCCTCCACTAGACCACAGTTCTGTTCATCTGTCATGCCCCAAGCACACATAGGTCAAGAGCAATGCTATAAGAGCATGTGGTGCCAGGGTGTTAGTGTCACTGCAGGTCCCAAGGGAGCTGAACACATAGGCTAGAGAGATATGATAGCTATAGACTAAATGCTCTACATACTGTGCTTGGATTTGAACTCTTCAAGTGGTGTTGCATAAAAGAAAAAAAAAAGATCCTGACATTTATTTAATCCAAATGTCTATTCAAGTCTCTTGCTATAGGAAGAGAGATCAGACTTCTAAATACTAAAAGGACAATTGGGGATTTATAGCTAAGGGGCAGGATAAATGGGGGCAATGGATGGAAAATTACTAACTGGAGACATCAAAGATAGAGAAGTTTTTACTAAACTGATTAAAGATTCTTACTGAAGGTCAAGGACTTTGACTTTAAAGGCAGAGGATGAAGAATTTGATTAGATGAAAAGAGCAAGGAGAAGCTGGCTGGTGGTGGCTTATATCTATAATCCTAGCTCCTCAGAAGGCTGAGAACTGAGGATCATGGTTTGAAGCCAGCCTGGGCAGGAAAGTCCGTGAGACTTTTTTTGGGGGGGTAAGAGGGGTGGTCCAGTCGTGGGGCCTGAACTCTGGGCCTAGGCGCTGTCCCTCAGCTCTTCAGCTCAAGGCTAGCGCTCTACCACTTGAGCCACAGCGCCACTTCCAGCTTTTTTTCTTTTTGCTTATGTGGTGCTGAGGAATCGAACCCAGGGCCTCAGGCATGCAAGGCAAGCGCTCTACCACTGAGTCACCTTCCCAGCCCCACCCCCACCCCCAGACTCTTATCTCCAATTATCACCCAAAGAACCAGAAGTGGAAGTGTAGCTGTGGCTCAAGGACCAGGCCCAACGGGGGGGGGGGGGGGGGGGGGGGGCCGGGGCGCAGAGATGAATGAAGAAGAGAGCTGCTCAAAGGAGCTAGCCTAAACTTTGGCCAAGGAGAGTCTTTGCAGAAGGGAAGAGCTAAGGAATGTTGTGAAGGGTCCAGGAGTGTGGAGAAGGGGGGAAAAAACCCCACAGCCTTATTGGTTTACCCTGCGCTTCGTTTATCCCCAGGTCTCCAGAACAAGTTTCTGGCCCGCTATGTATCCCTTCCGAACCAGAACAAGATCTGGACAGTAACTGTGAGCCCTGAGCAAAAGGACCGCACCCCTCTGGTGATGGTGCATGGCTTCGGGGGCGGCGTGGGCCTCTGGATCCTCAACATGGATTCCCTGAGTACCCGCCGCACACTGCACACCTTTGATCTGCTCGGCTTTGGCCGAAGCTCAAGGCCAACATTCCCAAGGGACCCAGAGGGAGCTGAAGATGAGTTTGTGACTTCTATAGAAACATGGCGGGAGACGATGGGAATCCCCAGCATGATCCTTCTGGGGCACAGCTTGGGAGGATTTCTGGCTACTTCTTACTCTATCAAGTACCCTGAAAGGTAAAGAAGACCCACCCTCTTCCTCATGACTCCTAGCTCGCTGGGAAGTTTCCAGAGTTCATTTCTAATAGGTCTCTATCTCCCAAGCAGTTTAAGTACTATGATACCTTCAAGTAAGTAAATACAACATATTTTCCTTTCTCCTCCTTTGATGCAGAGTTAAACACCTTATACTGGTGGACCCATGGGGTTTTCCTCTGAGACCAACTGACCCCAGTGAGATCCGTGCACCTCCAACCTGGGTCAAGGCTGTGGCATCTGTCCTGGGACGTTCTAATCCATTGGCTGTCCTTCGAGTTGCTGGGCCCTGGGGTGAGTAATCTGCAAATAAGAAAATTCTACTAAGACCAAAGTTGTCCCAGTTAACCAAGCTCCACTACACATCTTTTCCCACCATCCCTATTTATTCATAAAAAGTGGGGCTGGGCCTACCATCATCACAAAGTTATTAAATCTGGATCCAATATCTTTGCTTAGGGTCCCAGAAAGGTTCTTTTTCCTTAGTCTGCATGGAAAAAGTTTTCCTGTGCAAGGAACAAGTAGGGCAGAATACCTAGTCCATACCTTGGCAAAGCCCTAGAAAGAGCTGAGTGCTATGAAGGGACTTTTCTGCTGCACATGTGGGTCTGTGGGACAGCCTATTACAGATTCAGTTGCAGGGCCCAACACTGATCTCATTCCCATCACTCAGCACCTGCAGCAAGGAGGGGTCAGAACCTGAGCCTCCATCACAACCCAAAGTGGTAAGCCCTCTGAACCATGCACTGCTCTACACAAATACCAATTCTTATCTGTTCTGGGTCACTTCACACTAAGTAATAGTCAGCAAATCCTTTGAGTAATATAGAAGGCAGTGGAGTGGGGAATAGGCAGCCATAGTGAACAGGAGAAATAGCTCCAGCCTTCTCATCTCACACTATCCATATCAAACTCTCCCCACTGTGGAGGGAATGAGAAGGGAAAATAAGTAAATAAAAAGAAAAATTAATTAATTAATAAATAAAAGTTCCCTTTATTGAAAAGGTGGGTGACCCCTCTTTTATACTTATGGCTAATATTTATATAGTAATGGTCATTGCTCAATATTGTGAGCAATGAGGGCTGAACAAAAGTTATCTATGTGGCCCTTCCAAAAAAATAAAATAAAATAAAATGGCCAACTATCAGTGGCTCATGCCTGTAAGCCTAGCTACTCAGGAGGCTGAGATCTGAGGGTCATTGTTTATAGTCAGCTCAAGCAGAAAAGTCTGTAAGACTCTTATCTCTAATTAACCACTAAAAAATACTAGAAGTGGAGGTATAGCTCAAGTGGTAGAGCACCAGACTTGAGCAAAAAACACTAAAGGACAAGGGAGGGTGAATATGTTGAAGTAATGACACAGATCAAGATGCATTGTATTCATGAAGTGCTTTGTTAAATAGCAAAAACAAAAAAAATAGATAACCAAAAAATTAAGAAAAATGAGGGAAAAGGTGGGTTAGGAGTGGTAGGTGAGAATGTTGAAAAGGGTGACATTGATCAAAATACACTTTTCATAAACTGCTTTCTTGAATGGCAACTCCTTTGCAAAACTACTAAAAGATAATAAAAATATTCAAAAAATGAAAAATTAAAAAAGGAAGAAAAGCTAAGGGGCAGCACCCAGTCCCTGTTCAAGACCCAATACCAACACACACACACACACACACACACACACACACAAGAATGGCTCCAAATGGGGAGTGGGGTAGAATGAACATCTGAACAGAAGTGAGGAGTTTCGGAGTTTTGGAAGAGTCTAGCAGGAGTCACAGGTGCCAAAGAGGGAGCAAGTGGAAAGAAGATTAAGTCAGGGTCTCCAATCCCATGGATTCTAGCAGACTCTATATCCTTTTCCAAGAGTCTACCTGCTCTAACCACTCTCCCTTTTTCTGGCCTTAACTCTGGCCAGGCCCATGCAGGGCACAGGAGCTGTTATAGTTCACTGATTGGCTGTCAGCCATGGATGGCTGTGCTAGGAGAAGAGGGCAGAACTGGTGGATAGTCTCATTGTACCTTCCACCCACTTCTCACAGAGTAAAAGCCACAAGGGAGAGAGAGATAAGTTGATCAGTAGACCCAATTTTCACAGTCTGTGTTTGGGTTCCCCACTGCTTGTATAAAGTAAAGAAAGGTGAAAGAACAGATTGTTCTAACTCAGCACTGAGTCTGGGACACCAGCGTTGTTAAGTCACCTGTATTCTGTTACAGACCTGAAAATGAGAGGGCTCTTGGGAAGTGGTATGGTTTCATCCGCTACCTTCAGAAGATTAAAGGCCATAAGGGTCCAAGAGAGAAAGAGAACCTAGCACAGACTGTAAAGGAAAAGTATCTCATCCATAGACAAGTGGAGCTTGTGATCCTTATAGGAAAAGACCATGGGACTTCAAAATAATCTGGTTCTTCTGATGTTAGTCTGTCTCTGTTTCTTTGGTAACCAGTCTGTCATTTGAAGTCACCTGGAACTTCCCATCAGACTTCTACACTCTTGTCTCCCTAATGTTAAATGCATAAAGCAGGCAGGGCACTTGTGGTTTACACCTGTAATCCTAACTAATCAAGAGGCTGAGATCTGAGGATCATGATTCTTATCTCCAATTTACCACCAAAAAACTAGAAGTGGAGCTGTAGTTCAAGTGGTAGAGCACTAGCCTTGAGTAAAAAAGCTCAGGGGCAGCACTTAGCCCCTGAGTTCAAGCCCCAGGACCAACACACACACACACACACACACACACACACACACACACAAATTTGTAAAGCAAATAAACCCTTAGAAATAGCATTTGATTATGTTTGTTTAAATGTATATAGACAGAATTCTTATTCACACACACCCAAACTATCTACTCCATGTTTGTTTTTAAACCTCTCTCAGGGCCTGGCCTGGTGCAGAGATTTCGGCCTGACTTCAAGCGCAAGTTTGCAGACTTCTTTGAAGATGACACCATATCAGAGTATATCTACCACTGCAACGCGCAGAACCCCAGGTGAGGGTCCCAGGGTCAGCTTGGGACAGACACTTTTCAGAGATAAAACCAGCTGCAGAGTGAAGTGCTTTATTTCTTCTTCCACAAAGTACTGACTCAGAAGAGCACAGGCACCATCAGATCATTTCCAGAGTTCCCGAGGGATGGACACAGACTGTGTAGAAGATAATAGATTAATTAAGCTTGTTGACCATCTCTAGAGGAAAGCTCTCCCCTCTACCCTAGAGATAAATGGTTGGCCTGAGAAGCCTATGGGAAAATTTCCCAAAAAATCCTTTTTACTTTTTGCTGAAAACATAATATAACTATTTTTTTTTAATTTTTTTAAAACAGGCATATGTAGTATTTTTTATTTGCTTATTTTTATTAACATATATTAGCTATATGGGGAAGGATTTCATTGTGACATTTCTCCAAATGTTATATACGGGCTTTTTAGTTTGTTTGTTTGTTTGTTTTGTTTTGATGTGGGTGTATATATGCCAGTCATGGGGTTTGAACTAAGGGCCTGAGTGCTGTCACTCAGCTTTTTTTGCTTAAGGCTGATGCTCTACCACTTGAACCACAGTTTCATTTTTTTTGTGTGTGTGGATAATTGGAGGTAACAGTCTCACAGACTTCTCTGCCCAGGCTGTCTTCAAACTGTGATCCTCAAATCTCAGCCTCCTGAGTAGCTAGGATTACAGGCATGAGCCATCAGTGCCTGACAATGCATGGTACATGGTATGGTTTAAAAGGCAGAGAGGAGTCTTCACCTGTCACCAACTTGCAGTTCCCAAGGGTACTCCTTATTTTCAAATCTCTCCTCTGACATTGCTTCAGAGAACCTCCTTGCATCAATTCATTTGCATGCACTCACACACATGTGTACAGAACACAGTTCCTGTAAGTAGTATCACTCAGTATAAGAATCTGCATTTAGAGCTGGGAAGGTGGCTCAGTGGTAGAGCACTTGCCTTGCATGCCTGAGGCCCTGGGTTTGATTCCTCAGCACCACATAAGCAAAAAGAAAAAAGCCAGAAGTGGCGCGGTGGCTCAAGTGGTAAGAGCGCTAACCTAGAGCTGAGGGACAGCACCCAGGCCCAGAGTTCAGGCCCCACGACCGGACCCAAAAAAAAAGAATCTGCATTAAACTTAATTTTGTGCACTTTGACATAACTTACCATTGTGGCAGAAATTCCTTTACTTCTTTTGATGGTGTTGAGAAGTTCCTGTACTCATACCATAGGCCCTGCAGACTTGCTGGCTTAGTCTTGGCAGTATTGACAGCAGGAGAAAGCCAGGGAGGTAATCTTGCCCTGTAGCAATGCCTTGTGAGACTGAGACTGACTCTGCAGTGGTGACATCTTCTAGAGGCTTCACCTTGAGCTGCAGGATCCAGAAGCATTGTCTCAACTCTTCACACCTGTCTAGGTCACCCAGGGGAACCCCAAGTTGTGAAGAACAACTCAGTGAGACAACTCACTGAGTTGTTGAGACAACTCAGTGTTGTCTCAAACCAGGGCAGCTTTTAGGCAGTGTGGGAGCTCAGCTAATGGAAGGGTCTAGTTAAGCAATGCTGTAGAAACTTTAAGCAGTGAATTCAGGCAGCCCTAGCTTCCTGCTCCTGGTTCTTACCAGGCCCACACAAGGCCCCACTGGCTCAACTTGGGCCCTCTCCCCAGAACCTGTTCCATTCTAGACTGAGTTTGTAGAATCTAAACCATAGAATAATCTTGCTTCTTACTTATGTCCTGGGTAAAGTAGACATGATAGTAGGATAACTAGCTCCCATTTGTTCACCCTCAATACCATTATTTGCATTTATAACTCCATGAGTTTTTGTGTTGTTTTGGGGCTGGTCCTGGGCACTGTCCTTAAGCTGTTTTTGCTCAAGGCTAGTGCTCTATCACTTGAACCACAGCTCCTCTTCTGGCTTTTTGTTGGTGAATTGGAGATGAGAATCTCATGGTCTTTCCTTGCTGGGCTGGCTTTGAACTGTGATCATCAAATCTCAGCCTCCTGAGTAGCTGGGATTGCAGGATGAGGCTCTGGCACTCAGCTTGCTTGTTAGTTATAATGGAAAAGCTCATGGCAACTCTGATCAGTCTCTCAGAAAACAAGAAATCGAGCCAAAGGGAAAAATGTTTAATGAGAACTTACTTCACTTCACCTAAACTTCAAAGCTTTGTTTGTATTGTCATTTTGTTAAACATGACCTAATGCAATGAGTATAACCTCTAGCTTGGAAATGAGAAAATTAAAATATATTCTTCTGATTACCTGATTTCCTAAGAAAAATTCATGTCTGTCAGATAGCAAAATCCATGACTTATCATGGATTTATCATGTTCCAATGTCTTAAGGAAAAGTTTTTAGCTTCTGGTAGCCTAGGCAGAATATATTTACACTGAACAATAGAGCCTAGGAGTGGCCATAGTTCCCATTCTCCCCTAACTCACTCTCCAGCTATAGACTGACCTGGAAAGCTGGTCCCTGCCCCAGCCTTACAGATACCTCCCACATGACCCCAGTGCACTCTACGTAAGGAGACAACCAAGAAGGAAAGCAGATGAACTGGCATTTGTTGCTTCTCTCTTAACAGAACTGCTGCTTGCCCAGTCCTCATAAGGCTGATTGGTAATCCAGAAATCTCCTTAGGAGATCCTATTCACTGCTCTATTTCTCACTCTTCAGGGTACACTTCAAATGAATTCTCCCTCCCCCCTAATCTGTGTTCTCCATAGCTCTCACTACACTTTCATGATTCTCAGGACGTTTTACATGAATTCTTACTCCTGTGATTTCATCATTTAACGCCTAAACACGTGCTATAGTAGGGCAACTACCCTATCTGTCCTGTTCCTATGGCCCTTCATCTAGCCAACTAACACCCCAGCATGACATACAATATTTGGTTAAATAAGTAATAATTCATTCTGATGGATAGCACTGTAGGGTTTGACCTATGGAATTTTACTCATCTCCTAATGTTACTGATATTCAATGAGCCAGTTCTAGGCCTTCAGAAAAGTACAAAAGTATTGCTCTAGCCTCTGAAGAGACCAAGAAGTAGACATTTTCTGCTGCCAGAATTGTTGTATTGATTGCCTTTAACCTGTTTTGCTTCTGCCAGTGGTGAAACAGCTTTCAAAGCCATGATGGAGTCATTCGGCTGGGCTCGGCGTCCCATGTTGGAGAGAATTCACTTAATTCGAAAAGATGTGCCCATCACAATGATCTATGGGGCAAACACCTGGATAGACACCAGTACAGGGAAAAAGGTGAAGATGCAGCGGCCAGATTCCTATGTCCGAGACATGGTACGTTGACCCATCCATTTGAGTCATGAATCAAATGCCAGCATATTGATTGACTGTTGGTCAATCAACTCTTAGCCCTGGGAAGGGGGGAGAGGGAAAGCTGGAGAGGATAATTAGAGTGAGGTGAAAATGAGCAGACTGAGATGAGTCAGTGGGTGGGTTTGGCAAGTATGGCTCTATCTGTAATGTCACAAATAGGGGCTTCTGGCTAGCTGGCTGCTGGTGTCTTCATGCCTGTAATCCTAGCTGAGATTTAAGGATCAAGGTTCAAAGTCAGCCTGGGCAGGAAAGTCTATGAGATTCTTTTCTTCAGTTAACCATCAAAAAGCCAGAAATGGAGGTGTGGTTGAAGTGGTAGAACACCAGTCTTGAGAGAAAAAGCTAGGGGAGAGCACCCTGACCCTGAGTTTAAACCCCAGTACAGGCACAAAAAAAAAAAAAAGAAAGAAAGAAAGAAAGAAGGAAAGAAGAGAGAAAAGAAAGAAAGAAAAGAAAAAGAAAGAAATGACAAGCTGCAGGGTTTTGTTTTGTTTTGGTTTTGAGGAAAGGGTTGTTGGTCATGGGATTTGAGCTCTGGGCGTGGGTGCTGTCCCTCAGCTCTTTAGCTCAAGACAAGCATTTCACGCTTGAGCCACAGTGCCACTTCTGGTTTTCTGGTGGTTAATTGGAAATAAAGAGTCTCATAAACTTTCCTGCCTGTGCTGGCTTTGAACTGTGATCCTCAAATCTCAGCCTCCTTAGTAGCTAAGATTACAGGTGTGAGCCACAAGTGCCCACCTAAAATGACAAGTTTTTATTAAAGTAGCCAGCTATATGCTGCCACTTCAACCTCCCCAACACCTCTCCCCATAATCCTACCCAAAACTGAAGCCAGGAGCAGTGGAATAAGTAGAGTCCACTATGAACACTTCCTACTATACTTCTACCTCCCCTTTTCTCTTGCCACCCCCACTTCACTGCCAGTGAGGATGCTCAACTTGACTGCCAATCATAGGCTCTAGTTAACTGGGCCTTTGGCTGAAAGGAGCCAGGCAGAGCAGAGCTCATGTAGAAGGAAAGACCCAGGGGATGGCTAAAGAAGTAACACAGGGTATTGTGATCCAAGTCCCACTGGAAAGCACAAACTCTAGGAAGAAAGGTGGAGCTGGGGGGCGGGGGGAGGGAGGAGGAAGAAAAGGGGCAGGCAAGTCTGAGGGGAGAAGAAATTGGTGGTATAGCTTTCCAACCCTGGGATTAAAGAGTGTTCTACCCTGGTGGGTCCTCTCTCCACAGGAAATAGAGGGTGCATCGCACCATGTCTATGCTGACCAGCCACACATCTTCAATGCCGTGGTGGAGGAGATCTGTGACTCGGTTGATTGAGCTGCTCTCACTAGAGGAAGAGGAGAAAGCCAGAGAGTCACTCTTGTCTCCCTCTCTGCTTAGTCACCCCTTCTGTCCTTTCCTCACCAACTAACATGTGCCAGCCAGGCAGAGTCTTGGGCTGTCCCCAAGATAGGACCACACTGAATAAGAGCACTCTTGATCCTATGCTGAGGGCAAGAGGCAGAAGCCACAAGAAGCCTTGAACTCCCCAACCTAGGGAAGAATGAAAAGAATTGCCCAAGGCCACCCCATTATGCCCACACCATGTGTTAGCAGTTAGTCATTATGAAGAGATTGCATCGAGCCATGTTGCCTCTGTGTGTGGCCTTCCTTCCTATGGGCAGAGAAGAGCTCCTAACGGCCTTTCTTTCCTAACACTAGAGTGTTTCTGGGAATGGGTTCTATGCAAGAACATCTTTCTATATCACTCCTCACCTCTGTCCAGGATTTGGTTGAGATCTGGTACCACTTACCTACCAAAAGCAGGCCCTAGATTTCCATTTATCTGCAGAGTTCCACTCCATGACCTAAAAGGTCATCTCTCAAGTCCTCATCGGCAGATGAAGGAAACAGTTTAGATACGACATAACACACTTCTGTGATATGAATTCTGGAACCCAGGACTACATGTGGTTGCAGACTTGATTTGCTAAGGCTTGAGACAGACACCATTGTCATGGGCTGATCCTACTCACTGTCTAAATTCAAGCCTTTCTTTGCCCCCCTGTTCTAGCCCTGTTAAACAGGCATGCTCTTCTCATGCTCCGTGTCTTGCTCTTGGTGGCAAAAGCTGAGTACACTCAAATAATCTTTCCTTGCCCTGTCTTCCTCCCAATGGGAGGACTCTGGGCCTCCCTTTGTGCCTTGGGCCCTGAAGCCCCCATGTAGTGCAGAGATAAGGTGGTTCCTAGTGGAGAGAAGGGAAAAAGACCCTTCCACCCCCGGGCCATGTCCGGATATGCCATGCCCACTAATCCACAGCACTTTTCTACCTGCTCCTAGAGCTGAGGGCCACTGGGAGCCCCTGCCCATGATCCAGTGGGAAGCCTCAAACCCATAGTTCTCTATTCTTAGCAGCCACAAAATGATTTTTACTGCCTGATCCTTCATTCCTGCCTTCTACCCCCTGGTCTCCAGCTCATCCCATCCTCAGATTACCTGTCAGCCCTTTCCAAGGGTCTCATTCCAGATGCTGCTCTGAAGTTCTGGGTAGTAGGCTGGGCCTGGCCCCAGAAGCAGGGCAGCTCCTCCCTGCTCCTTCACTTTTGTAAAGCCAACCCTTTCACCAGAATAGTATTAACTCCTGGTGCTTTGTACTACTGGTCCAGCTGCCTTGGGCTCCTTTTCTATATTAATAAAGAAATGAGTAAAAACTGCTGGTGGTGATGATACTTAATATTGCTCTAAGAAGAGTACTAGATTATACTGGCTTCATACAAGTACATGTGGTGCCATTCAAAGTCATGTTTATCTTCAGAGGCCAGCAGGAACCAATCTCAGCCACCCCTCACACAGTGCAAGAAGACTCGGTCCAGAGCATGGGTGGATCAAGCCTCAATTCATAAGAGGAGAATTAGGCAGAACTAGCTGATCCCCTACGCATTCAGTACCCAATGCTCAGTTCGTCGGTTTCCCTGGCCCTGCTCCCTACAGCCTGCTCTCCAAACTCATCCAGCCTTCGTATCCTCTGGACCTGCCACCCCAGAGACTAGACCTTAATCCCCCTGTTCGGTGTCTCCATCGCACACTCAACCACCCCTTGGGTAAAACTCATAAACATATAGGACTCATAAAGCTCATAAACTTTATGTATAAGCTATGTAAGAACATAAGCTATATAAGAACAAGGGGGTATATTTGGCACATAGATCATAGGGATTTTTGTTTTCTTTTGGCTTTGAGTGGGAGAAGGGGTTACTATTGGTACTGAAGTTTGAATTCAGGGCCCCACACTCTCACTTGGCTTTTCAGTCAAGCCTGGTGTTCTACCATGAGCCACACCTTCACTTGTGGCTTTTTGCTGGTTCGTTGGAGGTAAGAGTCTCATAGAATTTTCTGACTTCCAATTAGGATCCTCAGATCTCAGCCTCCTAAGTAACTAGTATTACAGGTGTGAGCCACCAGTGTTTTGTTTTTTTTTTTTAATAATTTGTATTGTGACTGAGTGATTACATAAATTGCACAAATTTCATAGTATTGTGAGATAGTTTTATTGAGTGAAGAGAAGTGATATATTCCAAGTGTTCAGAAAAGTATTAGAATCATTACAAAAATGTCTACTTTGTGCTATGTAACTTCTAGTAAGCCTAGAGTTTCAGCTCTAACTAGCACATGAAATTACATATTCATGATGAATGTGTAATGATGAAAGAATAGGCAAATGCATCCTGAGATAATCACAAAGCTCTGATCCACCCCAGGATCTTCTGAACATTGCTGTATGGAGGAGAAGAGCAGGTATTTAGAGCTGACTAGATGCATGCCTAGTATTTGGGCTACAATAATGAAGAAACATGGTTCCTACCTTTGTGGGAAATTTGCCTCCTTGAAGAGACACTTAACCAAAGTACCAGATAATTCAACGAAAATTGCAGCTGTGGAGAGATGGGGATAATCTGTTGCAGATGTGGTATCAGCTGAGTCTGAAGGCTAGGAAGGGAGGAATGATGCAAGAAGGGACTGCCTTGGGAGAGAAGGCCCATTGAGGTGGCACTGAAATGTGTCTGGGAAGATTGATATGTAGCCACTTACACAGCCCTCTGACCTTGTGAAGTGTGTGCTCATTCTAGAAAGCACTGGAAGGACTTGATCAAGGGTGTTGGGATGGGAAGTATACAGAATCAGACTTAGATAGACCTAGCCACTTTGATCACTCAGGCTACTGCAGTAGTCTAGAGCATAGATGCTGGTAGTGCAGGAATGACTAGTAGCTAGTACATACTGAGAGGAGAAAATGCAAGAGATGGTTGGGAGGTAAAAGGACTTAATGTTGACATTGAGTGTTGTCTTCCTAAAGAAAGGGCAGTGAAGCAGTATAGTAATTACCAAACTTTTTTGTTTTGTTTTGTTTACAAAATGACTTGGGGTTATTAATTTAAATATAGATCTTTGTTCTATTCTTCAGGATCTGAGTCAGTAAACCTAAATGGAGCCTGCCCATGAAATTTGCATTCAAACACATTCTCTAAGGGATTTTGATGTCCCAGATCTACAGGCACTGGGCTAAGGAACTTTGCATCTCTGACCTTTGATCTAGAAAGCCCTAGAGAAAAGCCTATGCTCCCCCAAAGCGCATCCTCCTTGTCCCAGAATCCCTTCTGTTTGAGAGATGGCACACCATGCTGATTTGACTTTGTAAAACTCTCAGGAGCAGATGCAAGAAAAATCTGAGGAAAAGCCAGGCACCAGTGGCACATGTTTATAATTCTAGCTACTCAGGAGGCTGAAATCTGAGGATCACAGTTTGAAACAAGCCTGGGTAAGAAAGTCCATGAGCTGCTTATCTCCATTGAACTGTGACTCAAGTGGTAGCATGCCAGCCTCGAGTGGAAAAGGCTAAGAGATAGTGCCTAGGCCCTGAGTTCAAGCATCAGTATTGGCACAAAAAGAAAAACAGAAGAGCAGGAGAAAAGGGAGGAAGAGGAAGAAGAGGAAGAGAAAGAGGAGGAGAAGGAGGCAGAGGAGGAAGAAGAGGAGGAGGAAGAGGAGGAGGAAGAAGAGGAGGAAGAAAAGGAGGAGGAGGAAGAGGAGGAGGAAGAGGAGGAGGAGGAGGAGGAGGAAGAACACTCAGGCCCACGTGTGTTCCTAAGGGTAGATACAAAAATTGTATGCTAAATATATGGTCTGGTTTCATCCCTAAAAGGTAGGACATCCTTATGAATACCTCTCTCTGTAACCATTCAATGAGTCCAAGTCAGAAAAAGACATACTTAACCCTTAATTTCCCTGCCAACACATATATACGAGAAAGTTTAGGGTAGCTAAACACATCAGTCCTTGCATCTGATAGGAGAAGAATTCAGACAAGACACGAACATGAGTATAGATGATGGAAAAGATGATTGATTAGAGAAAAGAAATATAGAGGAGAAAGAGAGCATGCAACATAGGCATGCCATGAGGAAGATAACAGTTTAGCCCATGTATACCATTTTAACCATCGTTCTCATTACAGAGAGTAGCCTTGGGTTAAACAGTAAGAATTGAATGACTTTCTGGTTGATGGCTCTCCTTACTGTTTGTTGCAAAGGTTCTGATGCCAAAGATTTACTGTTCCATCCTTATTTCCTCACTCTGTGTGTGTGTGTGTGTGTGTGTGTGTGTGTGTGTGTGTGTGTGTGTTCCAGTGCTGTCCCTTAGCTTTTTCATACAAGGCAATCACTCTGCCATTTGCCCCACAGATCCTCTTCTGGCTTTATGCTGGTTAATTGGAAGAGTCTTACAGAGATGTTCCTGCCTGGGCTGGATCCAAACTGCAATCCTCAGATCTCAGCCTCCCGAGTAGCTAGGATTACAGGCATGAGCCACTGACACCTGACTATTTCTTCATTCTTTTTTGTTTGTTTGTTCTTGTTGGTCCTGGGGTTTGAACTCTGGGCCTGGGTGCTGTCCATGAGCTCTTCAGCTCAAGGCAAGCACTCTACCACTTGGACCACAGTACCACCTCCAGTTTTCTGGTGGTTTATTGGAGAAAAGAGTCTCACTGACTTTCTTGCCCAGGCTGGCTTTGAACCATGATTCTCAGATCTCAGCCTCCTGAGTAGCTAGACTTACAGGGGTGAGCCACCGGCGCCTGGCTTATTTCCTCATTCTTTTGCAGATTCTCTGCCTCCATTTCATTGTCTGGCAAGTGTTGGCTTATCAACTTTTACTACCATCTGCAAGCTGTTTAGGTCACAATTCCCTCCTGGCTTTTCTACTAGCCTTGTGTCATTTCCACCAGTGCATTCCCTTATAAGCCCACAACTGTTTTCCATGGTCTAAGTTAGCACTGCTATACAAGAAAGGTCTTTGTCAGCATCCTATTAAATCTCACTCTTCACTAGGATTGAGGAGGAAAGACAAGGCCAGTATGGCACCAGGTAAGAATAACTACCTAGATAAAACACTAAGGAGAATCCAATAATGTCCACAGGGCCCAGAGTCCTTGCCACCCTGCCAGAAAGATTCCCCCTTTCTTGGTTAGTGGCTTTTATAAAGGTTGGAGACTTGAGACCTTGTCTTGTTAGTGGTTGGTATTCCTCCCCAAGGATCGGTCTCAGTATGTTAGAATTCAGCAACCCCACATTTAGTTGAGACACAAGAACAAATTACATAAGCAAAAGAAATCTGGGATGTACTCATACCTGCACAGGATCCTAAAGAATATGGGATTGCAGTAATCTTTTCATCTCCTCAGCTGAAGAATCTGCCTTGGGAGAACAGAAGAGCACTGCAACTGGCAGTTGACATATGGAGTAGTGGTCCAGGAACATGATTTTTCTAAAAAGAGTAGGATACCTAGGATGGCCTTTGGCTCCTAGATTCAAGATTCCCACCATGCCTGCCAAGTAGTAGAACCTACAAGTGCATGCCATAATGCCAAAGAGGAATAGGATTGGTTTTTTTTTTTTTTTCTTGTTTGTTTTTTGGAGTTTGTTTGTTTTGTAGTACTGGGTTTTGAATTCAAGGCCTTCTGTCTGTGAAGCACTCTACTACTTGACAAACACCTCCAACACTTAGAAACAGGATTCTTTTGGAGGAGAGGTTCTGAACTAAGTTTGAAGTCAGGACTTCAAATTTTAAAATTTTTTTTTGTGCCAGTTCTGGGGTTTGAATTCAGGGCATGGGCCCAGTCCTTCAGGTTTTTTTGCTCAAGGCTAGTGCTGTACCACTTGTCAGCTCCACTTCTAGTTTTTGGTGGTTGATTGGAGTTAAGAATCTCATGGCCTATGTGGGCTGGCTTCCTACTATGATCCTCAAATCTCAGCCTCAGTAGCTAAGATTATAGGATTATAGGTGTGAAATACAAGCTCCCAACCTGGCTTTTTCACTCAAAGCTTGCCTACCACTTGAGTCATAGCCTCACTTCTAGCTTTTTATTGGTTACTTGGAGACAAGAGTACTCTAGATTTATCTGACCTGACTGACATCATAAGATCTCAGTCCCCTGAACCACTAGGATGAAAGGTATAAGTCATCGATGCCCAAAGGGAACAAGATATTTCAGGGCTCACAACTCATGATAGAAGACTTACTGATATCTGTTGAATGATAAGAATCATAATACTTCCTACAATTTTCAGGGACAGAGAAGTGTCCAACTACAAACCATATATGATATAGTAGCAGTGGTTTTCTAAACTGGAATGGATCAACAGTTTAAAGTTCTGACTGA